GAATGCTCAGGGGTGATCAAAGTTTGGCCGTTCTTGTAGTCGACTTTGCTGTCCGTTGCGGGGAACGCCGGTAAATCTAGCTTTACCGGACTACCGGACCAACGGACTACCGGAGGTTGAACTCGAGGAATGGCCACAGGGTGAAATTGGTGAGCGAGGTCGGCCTTGGCAGATCGAATCGGTAGAGCAGGCTACGCCAACCAGCCAGCCAGCCAGCCAGCCAGCCAGCCTCGCCACCCCTTGGGGCTCATACGTTAGGGGTGACTTAAGCATTGTTTCAACTTCGAATCTCCCGGTAGAGGCCCAGATTGATGTCGCGAACTTTTCCGTTGCCTTATTTGCGAGTCAGATAACGAGGCTGAGTTATGCCGAAACTTCTCTTTCTGTCCTTCTCTTCGGATTGGCCGGGCGCTATCAAGAACGGAGCTCCGCGCCCCGGCGCAGAATGTTTTATTTCCCTTATGCCATACGCTCTGGACGATTTGTTGGCGGCACACCCCCGGAAAGAGTTTTCGCAATCTCTCGAACGATAATAGGCTTACGTCTGTCCCGTCCGCGATAATTGTCTCCGCGGACGAACGAACGACTTTCGCGGACGCGTGCTTTTTTCCTTAGCGAGCGCGTCTCACGGAACACACTTTTTATCGTTGTTGGCCTCCGTGCGACGCGACAACCGCGTCCGGAGGTAAGCTTGCGATCGTTCGCAGCGAGTCTGTCGTCAAGTTTTTCTATCGACGCGTTCGCAAGCACGTCTCGTTCGTATTTTTCGTACGAACGCCGCAACGGCCAGGTCGCGTTTTTGTATAACGAACACTTTCACTTTCACCGATGCTCCGCGTCGCGTTACGAGCGCGCGCGCGTGCGCGCGTAGTTCCTAAACGCTAGGCGTATTCGCAATAAAAACCCGCAACGATCGGCAACAATGGGACAGGCGAGAAACGGAATGGGGAAAAAGAAAACTGAGAAACGTAAATTGTATCGTGTCGTACGACTACTAACCGATTATCTAACCAAATAACTCGAATAGATTACGATTAGCGGCGACCGTGAGCGGCGATCACAGAGGCTGTCGTGCATTATTCCGAGCGTTCCCCCGGCGGACGGGTCGCATTATAATCAAGCCGCTTATCTAATGGCAAAAACTACCGAAGCCCGTCTCGCCGCCGGACGCCGAGTAGCGCGTGTAAAAATAAGGGATGGAGTGGAAAGGGATGTGAGAAACTTTGAACGAGAATACGTAAAGAAGTGTGTAAGTTCGCTAGTATAGATATGTTTTGTATCATAGTTCTATCATAGAAATATTAATTGAAATAAAAATTACTGTTTCGATGTTACCATTGGGTACGTTATTCGCGAGGGGAGCGTGGGAGGTGTTGTATCGATTATCGCCGACGTGGCCGCAAGTCTGACACCGATGCTCCTAATATCTTCGCAGCCGTGGACTGTCCCGAAATTTTCCCTACGTTCCTCGCATCCTTCGCGCTTCCTCTGAATTATTTAACGCCGCTACGTGATTGGCCGACAAATCCGACACGCCTCAATAATTTACCAATCATACACGCGGTCCTTTGTGTTTTATACGCCGTGTTTCGAATAAATCGCATTGCGTATTCAGGAGAGCGAGGAGCCGGCTCTATTCCGGCGTGAAACGCGCGGCGCCCCTCGCCCGTGTTCGCAAAACAAAAAACGAAAGGCGGAGGAACAAAGAAGAAGATAACGGGAAGAAAGCGAATTCTCGGATGGGAAATCGGAAAGGGAGCGATTTCTGAAGCTCGAGTCGAAATTTCGCCGAGGGCCGGAAACTGTCTGCCGGTACCATAAAGTAAATCGAAACATCCCCTCTTGTTCCGTCTGCGCGGGGCGTTTCTTAATCGTGTATGGATACTTCGGGGGTAAGTTTGGACGGTAAAACGAGAAGCGGAATGTCATCCGAGGATATATTGACCGGGGTATTGTCTGTGAATACGATTCGAACATCCTCGCCGCAGAAGGAATCCAAGTATTCGCGAAGTACCATTTTTATTAAAGTGCTACGAATCGATTGGATTTACATTTCATTTAAATTTCATTCAATTGTGCAGTAATTGCAACAGGTATCATCAGGAATATTTAACAATTATAATTCTATGCTAACCGAACGATCAACGTAATGAACAACGATCAGAAAAGCTAAACGCTGTTTGAAATGTAGACGCGAAACACAGCTTTCAGCGCAACCCCGGTTAATGGGATTCAACGTACGAACGGGCGGTTTGCGGTAACAGAACGCGGGCCGATTTTGTAAGAGGAACCGCTTATCTACGATCGAACGTCTGGCTGGTAAGTAAACTAAGGCGGGAAACGTGCGGTGGAAAGAGCGAGCATTCGATGTAAATTGGCAATTTTTCTCGTGCGGCCCATAGTAATCATTGGCAATTAGACCGCGGGGCCTCCGATAAATGTTATTTATGACCGCGATTATCCGCGGCGCACCTAGCTGCTCGAAGGTTCGCCTAACTGTGCTACCAGCCCGTCCCTTCCCTTTCCCTCCCTTCGTCCCGCCACGTCCACGTCTAATTGGTCAGCGATTATTCCTGTTTGTACAAAATGTCGGTACAAGCGGCACTTTACCCCGCCGCGAATACGAGCGAAAGTTTCTGGTGAACCGATTTAATGCGCGCGTATCACGGATAACTTTAAACGACTTCAACTGGACAGGGTTTCATCACCTCGTTAGCTCGAAGCGTAAATCATTTGTCTGTCTAGCAATGGGAAGCACTTCGAAACCAGTCCGCCACGGGTTTAAGACTCGTGATTTCGTTGATTTACTCGTTAGAAAATAAATTTCCACGAAAATTTATAGTTCGCGGGCGACATTGCTTTTCGCACTCCTCTATCGACGAATTACCTTCAGCTATGCTTGTTTCTTGTATCGTATAACAAGAAATCCGCGCGAATCTTCAGGCTTCTCTTTACCACGTCGGACACATGTGAGTTCCATTATGCAACGGAACGATGCTCACGGTTTTACAGAGCAGTATCGAATGCATTTAAAAGCGGCTACCATCGAACTGATTCCGAGTCTGAAATAATACCGACAATTTTTCCGCGCCGATGGCGCGTGATACCGGCAATCGTTCCTCGAGGTATATTTTTCCACGGCGAGAGGCACGGATGAGAACGTATTCAGAAGCATGTGGCGAAAAAAGGGAGCCGAGAGAGAGAGAGAGAGAAAAAAAAGGGAAGAAAACCCCGTATTCCATACGTTGAACGTGATTAAAAGGGAAGAACGAACGCATCGCGCTCTCCTCGCGGTCCTTGAAACAATATTATTATTAAAAGCTGTGCGCGCGGCCCGGTGATCCACGTGAGTCCACGGAATGGCGAAAAGAGTGGACGGGACACGGTGCCGGTCGGCGAGGGGGCGGCGGGGACGGGCGAGACGGGCGGGTCCGGCGACGGAAGAGCGATTAATTAAAAGAGCAAAAACCGTTTTCATAAAATTCATTTGCGGAAATATGCGCCGACTGAAATAATATCCGGCCGATGAGCGCGCGTGTCCCCGGTTTGAAGCGGCGTTCACGGGGACGCGATGCTCGAGTGAAAAACCGACGCGAATAAAAATGGAGGCCTGGACGAAATGCGAAAGTTTTCGCATTTTTTTACGTTCGCCCAGCGGACCGTGTGTACGTTATCGCGGTGCCGTGTGTGCAACCGGCCGCCGCACCGGTGTGCGTTTATTCTCTTGACCCGGCATCGTAACCGTATCGTGCATGCACCGGTCACAAAGCAACCAATCTTCCCCGTTCTTTTCTTCTTTTCCTCTGCCCTTGCCCGAACCTCGCGCCCCTACCCCGCTGCCCCGGTCGTATCCTTTTCTTCTCCTTTTTTCGTCACATTTCCCCTCCCGCGCTCGTTCCGGTCCAATCTCGCAGCCGTTCGGTCATAAAAATATTTCTACGCCTTCCTGGATATTTTTTCCTGCCGTCGTCACCGCCGCGCGCCGCTCGCCAACCCCTCTCGCCGACGTTATTCCGGACGACCAGCGGAGACGCGAAGTGTGATTTAAACGCGCGTAAAAACGGCCGTTAAAAGGCAAGAAAGCTCCTTAGCGCCCGCTTTGATTGGCCAACTCGGTTTATTAAAACGCCCCGGGCGATATTACATATTTTTCTTCTCGCTTGAACCCGGCCACTTCACCCGGCCACTCCACGCTCCCCCGCCCGCGCCGCGCCACCGCCGGCTCTCCTCGCTCGCAACGGTCCCCGGCCTCTCTTTGTCAAAGTATAAGGCTAGCTGCTCAAATAACCATTTTCCCTTTCTCAGTTTCTTTTCTTCCCGCCCCGGCCACCCCCTCGGGCAGTGTTTTACTGCGCCCCGAAGAACTTTCTTGCCGAGCGTCTCGCTTCAACCCTTCTGAACGATACCGCTCGAAAGGCGTCAAGCGGAAGGAATACAATAGGGGCATAAAAGGGATGCACGGAGGAGGGTGGGCGCTGGTGGAATTATGATAATGCGATTGTTCTTTCTGTATCCGAAAGCGTTGAAGGTGTTATCGTTTCGATAAATCCACGGGCCGCGGGATCGGTGAACGGCGAGGGACAAACGTGAGGCCGGTCGCTCCACCGCGAACGACAGGCCGGGTA